CGATCGTGATGACGTATATTACGTAAGCATACGTAGATATATAAGTGTTGCAACACGGTGTCGACTGGACGTCGCGCCGAAAGAAAATCGTTTGAAGGAAGGGAAAGCAACGAGGCACTGAATTGGCTGTGAATGCCAATACCATGAGTTAAAATCGCCGAAAGAAAATCGATGAAGGAAGGGAAAACAACGAGGCACTAAACTGACTGTGAATGCCATTGTTATACCATGAGTTAAAATCGCGACAGGATTCAGCCTCGATTTCTCGCGTCGAACGCTCGATAAGCTATTCCTCGATACTCGGCGAGATGATTAGAATTGTCACTTACCGTACTCTAAGCGTGTAACCTAGGCTATTACGTTCCGAAGCTTCCTTGCACGGTCTTTCCAACGCGAGGTTAAATACCGTGAAAGAAGCAAACGAAACGATGATGATAACGCAGAATTACGCCATTACGGCGTTATCATCGAGCCTGGTTCGTCTTCCTTTTTCTTTCTCTTCTTTCTATATATATATTTTTTTTTTGTTTTCGTTTTTATTACTTTTTCTGCTGGAACTTACTTTATACGATGTCGTTATACAAGGCATCTAAATTAGTTCCACGACCTTAAAATGTATCTCTATGAATTGGTAAATCTTAGCCAACAACAGTATGTACGGTGACGCAAGGATCCTAAGTATGACTAGCTTAATCGGTAACGTTATTACTTCCGGCAAGAAGGAAACTGAGACTCTATGACGAAAATTCAGCGCGAAAAGGTACCACTATTCTTTTTTTTTCTTTTTCTTTTTTTCTTTTTTTTTTTTATTGAGATTTACGAAACGATGCAAATCTTCATACGGAAACAGAGGATCTATCAGCCTAGCGAGTTATTAGTTAGCTGACACGTGGCTACTACGAAATCAAACGCGACGTGAATACATAAACAAGATCGAAACTAATGGAAAGGTGTTGTAACAAGGCTGCTCACTACATCACACGGGCACTAGAACAAATTACAAAGTCGTCGATCAAAGATTCTTCACATGATCAAGCAACGTGAAATGCCTAACGATAAATGCTTGGCTTCTGTTTGGTTTCTATTTGGTGTTCTGTTTTATTTGATCATCTACTCGATCCTAACGAGTGACTAATTGTTTGAGAAATTATACTTCCGCAAGAGCGTAAAAGAGAAAGGAAACGTTAAATAGTGATCAAATGGAACTGAGTGTAAATTCGTTAGACGGAAATGCTCGTTAATATCACGAAAACGATCAACATGCTTGTAAAAGTTGACGTCGAATCTGCAAATATTCGGTACAAGAGAAGAAAAAAGGAAAAAAGAAAAAAACGCTCGTAGAAAAAGAGAGTAACGAGTTGCGTAAAAATACTCTCTCGGATAGTGTACTCGTGCAGATGATCGTTTCGCGGACTTTCGTGTGTTTCCGCGTGTTTCTCTGCCCCTAAATGGATAATCGCTACGATTTCTCCGAAGAAGCGTGCTTTGCTAAGTGACTAGTCGTCGTAGGTATCGAAGTCAATGCCGTTAATTCGTCTAGGCTGCAACAACACTTTTGAACCCAACTGCCTCCTCTATGTCGTCTGCTTTTTCTATCCTACCTAGTGCTTAAACTTGCACCCCTGAGATATTCGTTATACCTTTAACCGTGTCTACGTATCAGTACGGATTCTGTATCGGATCGAGCGCGTCCATCTTAACGGATCTATCGAGAGCTTTCGCGTTTTCGTTTCTTCGCGTTGTCGTGGCGTCAGCTCCGAAAGCGAGCGTTTCAGTTTTTCAGCGGCTTTCATTCATCGACGAACACTTTTGTACTTCGTTGGGCAACTACAACTTTCTCCGTTGTAAGGATTGTCCAGGATTCTTCTTTTTTTGTTTTTTTCTTTTTCTTTTTTGTCTTTTGTTCCATGTTCTTATCTCCCTTAAAGTGCTATTTTTACTGCAAACGTCAAGTGTAGATTCGATAATCTACTTCTCGCGACATCTATTGCGATTCTGACTTCACTTCGTGAATTACGTGTGCCATTACGTACGTGCGGGCGAGTTCTCTCAAACTAAGTTGCGAAATTAGACAGCCTCTGTAACATCTGTAACCCTAAGCTCCAAAAGCTTCTGCTCTATTCTCTCGCGCTCTAAACGCTGTTTAAGACTCTACGCGTCGTTCTCTACGTGCCATTGCCTTGTCGTATCGATGATAAGATAACTCACACAACGAAAATCAAAAGCGCATGAGACAACGCGAATCTAAATGCACTGAAGGTGCGGTGAACCGAAGAGAATAAACGTCGTAAGCTCGAGCTACCGCGAATATCGACGAACGATAAATGGCTCGCTTGGTTCGATCGATTGACGTTTCGAGTGACGCTAACGCCTTCGTTCGCTGTTGATCGTACTTTGGACGGTGTACCTGCACTTATCCACAATATCGGGGTGCCTGACGAATAATGATAAGCAGCTCGTTAAAGATGATCATGCGAAAGGTAAAACGGTGCACGCGCTTGGTGTATAAAAAGTACAAACAACATAGAGAAAGAGAGAGAAATAGAAAAATAGAGAAATAGAAAGAGAGAGAGATGTGTATGGTTAAGTGCATAGTGAAAATCGTACGTTGAAACGCACTTTGGCTGCTTCGAATGGATGAGAAACGTGACAAGAAGGACACTTAAGTATCAAGGCACATCAAAAATCAAACCATCGGACATCTATTATTTCGAAAATTAACTCTGGTAACCGTGGGTACCGTGTATCAATACCGTGTATCTTTCTCTTCAACGGATAACTAACGATACTGATTTAAACCTAGATACACATATCGGGAATATCGATCAATTAGTTGTGCAATAGAGGATGGACTAGGTTCACGTCTCTGCGTTCGCGTATCCTTTCCTTCGCATTCCTAAATATTCAACAGATCGACAGAAGCAAACGTGAATAAACCAAGACCTAACAAAGGAGGCGACATACGGTCAAATTCGATATTCCAATAAAAAGCAAACGTTCCGTAATCGTAATTAAAGTAGAACAGAGCGTGAAACTTAACTTTCTGTTTCTTTCAAAGCTGACACCACGACTCGTCTGCCCTTCGCCGTAATACGTTTATCAGACCTTATTCTAAGGTAAATTGAGATCATTTGGATAAAGACGTTTCGTTCTCTATTCTCGTTTCTTTTTTTCTTTCGTCGATCGGTTTTTTTCACTTCGTAGATTCGGATCAATTATTCACCAGCGAGTACTGATTCAAAGGAGTTTCAATGAAATAAAGTTAATTCCGGGGTAAACGAACACGAGTATATCTGCAGATCATCAAGCGTTTGCTTGGTGTGTTTCGGATTTTTGCACGATTGCAAGAAATCACGATTTAGTGAATGCCCATGTATTTCTTTCTTTTTTTTCTTCTTCTTCTTCTTCTTTTCCTTAATAATCATCCTCGCGGCAATTAGCGGCCGCTACCCTCTCGCTTTCCCGTTCCTAGTTCACGAACCCTTTTTTTTTTTTTTTATTACATTTTGATTTCATCGGTAATTGTTCTTAAAGCCTACGGAGCAACGAACGTATCTCTTTTTTCGTGAATTTTCAGCAAGCGTGCCGAGTACTCGCCTCGCGCAAGCTCCTCTCTTTCGTCTCTTTACAAATCACCTGCAACATCGCGTGAAAATTTAGGAAAAAGAAGCAGTTCGTTATCGGAATGCTGGACAGTTTTCAACATCGAGATGCTCGCCCACTATTCGAGACGATAAATTTTGACAAATCCAAATCGAAAGGTCGCCGGCCGAGGAAATTACACTTTTTTGCAGGCCGAAACGTGTTCATTGTTCGAGATCAAGGCCGGACGACTCGGCAGAAGAATTTTTTTTTCTCTCACTCTCGCAAGTCCCGTTCATTAGTCCAAACGTTTGCG